CTCGTCGGCTTCGTAGCCCTTGATCGCCTGCGCACCCGCGTTCCACGAGGTCACGTGCCCGTCCGGCGAGAGCGTGATGACGGCGTAGTCGCGAACGCCCTCCACGAACAGCCGAAGATGTTCGCCATCGTGCAACGCGGACGAGGGCTTCTCGCCTCCGGTCATGCCGGGCTCCGGATCCGTCCAGAGGCCATGGATGTTCATGCTCCCGGGCTGGTGCGCCGCGTCACGCTCTCATCTGGACGTATCGCGGTCAAGGCATGTGGCGAGGGTTGTGCCCATGCTGGCTAGGGATCCGACATGTTCGCAATCAGGGCGGCCAGGCTTCGCAACGAGACCGGCTTGGCGATGATGGAACAGGGGGGCAGCGTGGGATTGCGTCGTCGCGCATCGACCAGACGCTGGGGATCGGGATCTCCCGACATCAACAGCCAGGGGCAGGCCGGTCGGCGGGGGCCGAGTTCGGCGAGTAGTTCGATTCCGTTGCCGTCCTGCAGGTTCACGTCGCACAGGACGAGGTCGATTTCCTCGACCTCCGCATCCCTGGCCAGAAGGTCTCGGACCTCTGCGGAGCTCCCAACCGGTGTAACGTCGTGCAAACGGCGCGCGAGGTATTCACCAACCTCACGCCTCAGGTCTGTATTGTCTTCCACGAGGAGTATCCGAAGCGGCATCGTCGCGCAGGGGCCAGTGGAGTGGTTTCGTCAAAGCCGTAGCCTTTCCCGCCCACGGTAGGCGTGGGGAAGAAGCCGTACAAGCTTCGCGTCATGAGTGTCCGAATGCGCACTAAGAAAGAAGGAGCGCCAATCCCCTGGGGGCTGTCAGCGCGGGAAGGCCCGTGCGTGTGGCGATGCGTGCCATCCGGCGTATCGACCGGCCCAGGGATTTCATCTCCACGGGCTTGTTGAGGAACTGGTAGATGCCGAACTTGCTCAGCGTCGATTCCGACAGCCAGTCGATGCGACCCGACATGACGATCACTGCCGTCGTGGGCGACAGGCGCCGGATACGCTCCGCGACGGTAACGCCGTCCAGATCCGGAAGATTGTAGTCCAGCAGAGCGATCCCCGGACGGATCTCCGCCACGCGATGGATCGCTTCCGATCCGCTGTAGATCGCCTGAACGCGGAGGCCGATCCGGCGCAGGTAGAGGGC